ACTGACAGGCTACATTATGACAGATGAAGAAAAAGACTGAAACTATCAAAAACTTACTTGGATTCACAATTAACACTCTTAGTATCAGCTGTCAGGAGATCAGGAGATATATCACACTGGAAAAGTCTACAGTTAGGGACCTCTCCAAATTATTGAGGAGCCATGATATCGATTCAAAGATTAAGGTACACCTGATTTAGGCCATAGTCTTTTGAATTAGCTTGCTATGCATCTGAAAGTTGAACAATGTATGAAGATGACAGAAGAATCAATACCCTTTGATTTAGGTTGTTGGAGAAGAGTTTTAAAATCCCATGGGCTGCCAAAAGAACAAACAGATATGACTCAGAGACAGTAAAGTCAGAATGCTCCTAAGAGGCAAAGATGACAAAGCTTTGTCTCACAAACTTTGGGTATATTCCTAGGAGAGGATATTCATTGAAGAAGGGCATCACGCTTGGAAAAGTGGAGAGTCAGAAAAAATGAGGAAGATTCTCAACAGGGTAGATAACATGCTGACTGAAGCAATGGGCTAAAGTTTGTCAGATGGAGAATGAAAAGGGTCCAGATCCGTTGTTCATAGGGGTAGTATGGGTCATACCTAACAACACCTCAGCTATCTTTGGAGTCTTTCACAACTGCATAATGGTGACAAGGGTCAATGCTAATCGGTTAAGTATTACATATAAAATAAGTTTTCTTTATGTTTATAGATTCAAAATATAGACCAATTGGTTTAATATTAGGAAAGAAATGTGTCAGGGATGTATCCTGTACCTAAACCTTTTCAATCTATATGCAGAACGGATCATTTGGAAAGCAGGGTTTTATAAGGAGTAGTGTGGCATCAAGATTGGAGAAAAACTCATTAACAATCTATGATAGGCAAATGACACAACTTTGCTTGCTGAAACTGAAGACGACCTGAAGCGCTTGCTGCAAAAGATCAAGGACTGTAGTCTTCTATATGGATTGAAGCTTAACATCAAGAAGACAAAGATTCTCACCACTGAGCCAATTGGCAGCACCATGATAGATGGAGAAGAGATTGAGGTTGATAGCAATTACAGCTTGCTTGTATCCATAATCAACACTCTTAACACCAGCAGTCAGGAAATCAAAAGACGAATTGCATTGGGAAAATCTGCTGTCATGGACCTCTCCAGAGTGCTGAAGAGCAATGATGTCAGTCTAGAGACTAAGGTGTGCCTGATCCAGGCCATGGTCTTTGCAATTATTTGTTATGCTTCAGAGAGCTGGACAATGACTAAGGATGACAGAAGAAGAATAGATGCATTTGAGTTGTGGTTCTGGAGAAAAGACTTGAATATATCATGGACTGCAAAGAAAACAAATTGGTCTGTCTTGGAGAGGGTGAAACCAAGTTTCTTTTGGAGGCCAGGATTTTGCAGCTCTGCCATACATACTTTGGGCACATGGCCAGGAGAGATCAATCCTTGGAAAAGGACATTATGCTCAGAAGGGTGGATGGACAGTACCTAGGATGAGAAGAATTGATACAGTGACTAGAGAAATGGGGGTTGGTGTGTCAGAATGTGACTGGTTCAGGACAGGGAAGGGTTCTGAGCTGCTGTACATAGGGTCACTATACATCACAGGTGACTCAATGGCACATACCAGCAACAACATACTATATTGGAGTTGTTTGTTACTATATTTTGGAGGAATTTTCTTCTAAGTGGTACTCTTCTGTCCAGATGAGGTAATCTGGGGTTGCTGTGATGCTGAACCTTGTGCCATTGGAGTGTCAAATGCCATTAATGGTTGTTACCATGGTTAACAGTGTTTGGTGGGGCTCCCAGTTTAAGAGAGTTTTGGAAGGAGGAGTAACGTCCACTTCCTAAACAACATGCCTTCGGAAACTCTATAAACTCTGATAAATGTATATAGTTAAAGAAGGGCTTCTATGAGACATGCGCAACTCAAAGGCAAACAACAATAACAACAACAACAACAACAAATGAGTGACAACCCTTTCCATTATTCCCCTCTGAGTCTCCATGGTTATATTAAGCAATATATTAAGCAAACATTTTGGTAGTATATCAAACATGAGATAATTTTAAAGATATTACAAGCTATTGTGAGATCTATTTATCAAATGCAAAAAGTTCATTTACAGTTTTGAAATATGAATGAGAAAATGCATGCATATGTATACATTGCCTTTGTCAAATTACTTTCATCCTGGTTTTCAGTTTCTGATACTATTTTGAGCCTATCATATCCTTCCTATGTTATTAATCATCTTATTTTAGATACTATTCTTTGCTTCCTATGTGCCAAATAATCTTTGTTCTTATTTCAAGCATACCTTTTTTTAGACCTATACATAAATCTAATTCTGAAGTTAGACAGAAATAATAATCAACATGTGTGATTATTATACTTTCTCATGGAGTGTACGTGTGATTCATTTTGATGTATAAGCCTCTAATTTGTATAGTCCATCCTTAGAATGCCTAATTTCTATAGAGACTTCATTCCAATTTTACACCTACCTATAGATCTATGTCTATGTTCAAGACAGTCCTATATATTATTTCTTTTATGTTATTTGAATCAATGCTTTTGACCTTTTGTGACTAAAATTAGATCTCTTTCACAAAAGTTGTATGACTTTCTTGTACATTCGCAAGTAAGTGCTATTGTTAATACCACTTGTATTGACAGCATAGGAGAGGAAGACCCCAGATAAGATGGATTGACACAGTAACTGGGGTAATGAGGGTAGTTTTGTCACAAACAGTGAGACTGGCTCAGGATAGAGCAGGGTTCAGAGCTATTGTGCTTAGGGTCGCTGTTGAAGTTGACTCAATAGCACATAACAACAACTCATATTGACAGCAACTTCTGTTTGTAAAACTTTCCCTAAAGATCTATTTTAATTTTTTTAAGGATATATTCATCCTTGAAGATATTAACCAAAAACATTTAAAAAATAGCTAAAAAAAAGAACAGTTGATATTGATTCTGATACATGGTGACCCCACAGAGATCAAATGAGAACTGTTTTCAATAATCAGATTTTTAAAAGTAAATCACCAAACTTTCTCCAATAGTGTCTGGAGCTGGGATTGAGTTTATTCTCTCAAACACTCTAACCTCTAATCTTCTATATCAGGAGTTTTCTGTCATTTTTCTGTGAAACATTTTACCCCAGATGATCATGTTGTTTTCCTGGATTTTGTGATTTTTGATAAATTTGTGCGTCAGAATATATTTTTTTCTCTATCTTATGGTCAAATCCTCATTGGGTCACTATGATTTTTATGTTTCTTGGCATCTAACAACAACAATGCTCAAATGTATTTTTTTTAA